ATAGTTAAGATTTATTCACATTTATTAAAAATAATTATTTTTTCACTTTAAAAATCATAATAAATTTCAACCACCGAAAATAAAAAGATAAATAATTCAGATTTTATATAAATATTAATAAAGTGATAAAAAAGGTTGAGAGTGAAAAGACAATTTGATTATTCATCGAGCTTACATATATATACAAGCAAGTCCTAATGTTGCCCTATTTAACTCTTATGGAAAATACTAATAAAACGTAAATATACATAATGTAGAGAATCATTGAGAATTGATAGCCTATGTCATTGAGCCATGATTGAAGAGGGAGTATCCTGTGTTTTCTTAACAAATATAATGTGTAAGTGTGAGTAGATATAAATGTGAGAAGGAATTCACTTACATACAAAGTTTACACATCATTCTTATATAAAATCTCAACCATTTATCTCTCTACTTTTAATTGTTGAGATTTATTATGGATCCACTTCCTCCACTTTACCCCAAACCCCATTTTGTCCATTATCCAATCAAGGAAAGACCAATCTACACAATCATATACCTTCTTAAAATCAGCCTTAAAAATAAAATTCTATTGTTTCCTCTGTTTCACATCATCCACAATCTCATTCAACAACAACACACTATCAACCAATTGCCGACCCCCAACGAAAGCTGATTGTGAATCATTAATTAAATTTGCCATTATAGTCTTCAATCGATTGGCCAATACTTTAGCCAATGGTTTATACAAACACCCAATCAAACAAATAGGTTGAAACTCCTTGAAATGTACAAGATTTAATTTCTTCGATATTAATGCTAAAAATGAAGAATTTAAACCACACACTAACCTTCCATATTGATGAAAGTCCTTTAAAAAAACCACAAAATCATTCTTCAAAGTGCTCCATATAAACTTTATAAAATTAAAATTAAAATCATCCAGACCTTGTGCCTTTGACCCATCACAACTCTTGAGACCATCTTTTCTTTCTTCAATGGAAAAAAGCCTTCCCAGCTACTCCCGTTTTTCCACTGATATTCTGTTTAACTGAATCCCCCCATTAATGGACGGTTCCACTGATCCTTCTGAAACAATTCACTGAAATACCGTACAGCCTCCATTTTAACCAACTCTCACTTTTCAATCCACCCACCTTCACCTAAGACACCTGATATTGTATTCTGTGCTCTCCTAGCCTGAACACTCCTATGAAAGAAATGGGTATTAGCATCCCCAAGACAAACCCAAGTATTCCTTGATTTCTGTTTCCATACCGCTTCCCTCTTCCTTAAAATATCTCACATCTCCTGAAAACATTCTCTTCTAATTGTCAACTCAATCTCATTCAACTCTACCTCCTCACTTTTTTTGTCCAACATTTCAATCTGCTTCGACAATTTATCAACCTGAGCCTCCACATTACCAAAAGCCCCCTTATTCCATCTTTTAAGATCCTCCTTTAATAACTTCAATTTCTGTTGACATTTGTAACCTGCCCAGCCTTCAATTTGCATCTCTCTCCATCTATCCTCCACAAAACCATGAAAATCTGGGTGTTGGTGCCATGCATCAATTGCTCGAAAACGTTTTGGACCCCAATATGTATTTCTTGAGTTCAAAATAAGTGCACAGTGATCTGAAATTGACCTTCTAACTCCAACTTGAATCCACCCAGTGCTCAATAAACTCATCTATATAGACAACAAAAATCTATCAAGACTACTCATGGAAGTTCCATTAGTCGTGTACCATGTAAACTTCCTATTCAACAAGTTGACATCAATTAACCCATTATCTTCAACAAATTGATTAAAATCATCCATATCCTTAGTTTCTCCCATTCAACCCCTTTCTTCTACCAAATTTCAAACTAAATTAAAATCCCCTGCTAAAAGCCATCTGTTAAAAGCCATCTACCACTGTCAGCTAATATTAAACCACCTAGCTCCACCCACAACGAGGCCTTCGTCTGTCTATCACACGGAGCATACACATTGACAAAGTTGCACTTTAGCTTCTCATGACCCCATTCACCAGATATCCCAATGAAACCACTACCCTCTTTCACACTCTATCTAGCAAAACTGTTCTTATTCCATATGCACAACAAGCCTCCTGAACTAGCCATTGATTTCTGCATTACCCAATCAAAATCTTCTGAATTCCATAAGGTTTTATATGTTAAGTAGAAAAATCTCACATCGAGTATAAAAATAAGAAACTTGTGAGTTAAATATAAGGAGGGCTACTCCACCTATTGCCAATTGGTTTTAGGTTGGATGTAAACCTTGTGTTGAACCCACATGCAGGATTTTCAATATGGTATCAGAGTCCACGTTCTACCATGGGAAGTCCGTTCTTAACCCACCTAAGAGGACTCGAAGTTGATATCAGGCCTGCATATAAAGGAGCGTGTTAACCCACGTGACAGTACCCGACATTCATAGCGTGCCTGCACGTGAGAGAGCGTGTTAAGTGAGAAAATCTTACATTGAGTATAAAAATAAGAAACTTGTGGGTTAAATATAAAGAGTGTTACTCCACCTATTGCCATTTGGTTTTAGGTTGGATGCAAACCTTATGTTGAACCCATATGTACAATTTTCAATATGGTATCAGAGGTCAGGTTCTACCATCGGAAGCCCATTATTAGCTCACTTGACAGGACTCGAAGTTGATATCGGGCCTGCATTTAAGGGAGCGTGTTAACCCACGTGACAAACCCGATATTCATAGCGGGTCTACAGGTGAGGTAACGTGTTAAGTGAAAAAATTCCACATCGAGTATAAAAATAAGAAACTTGTGGGTTAAATATAAGGAGGACTACTCTATTTATTGCTAATTGATTTTAAGTTGGATACAAACCCCGTGTTGAACCCACATGCAAGATTTTCAACATTAGGATTCTTCTTCCTAACCAACCGAAGAACCTCCTTCCTTTTTTAACAAATTACATAGACCCCTAACATTAAAAGAAATCAACTTCATAATAGAAAATACATACCCACACTCACCAGCATAAACACCGCCCCCAGCTTCAGGCCTTCTCGAAACCGGCTGTATCTCTTTCCTCTAACGATACGAGCCTGGACATCACTTCATCCTGATTATTTTGACATTCAATACCCAATCTTTTCCCCAATTCGAACAACCTTCTCACTTCCTCCAGCTCTAATTCCCTTCGAATCAGACGATTTCTGTGTTTTATACAGCAATCGGACAATGAAGCACTAGCTTGCCGAAAATCCTGCCTCTTCTCCTCTCGCAGTAGCTGCTTCCTTCTTTCTTTTCGACTTCTGGTTCGTGCCGTGACCCATCTGATTCCCATCTCCCGTGATTTGTCCGCTTCTCCCTTGCATAAATCTCACCCAAACTCGTGTCTTTTATTAACTTCTAGATTCTTCCTCAGTAGCTGGCCTGAAGTGGATATAGGGACCCCACCCGACCCACTTTCATCCGGCTGCAATTCATCTCCAAAATCATTTGGCCCAATACTTTCCTCCCTACCCGGCCCATTCTTTGCAAGCCCATTAACATCACACAATCCAGCCGAATCACTCCCCCTGATTTTGCTTGCCTATTTAAAATCACATTTGAATCCTCTGCCGTTACCGCAAACTCTTCATCAATATTCCCATCATCCTCGCCTGAAAACCGGGCCACATTTAAGTCATCATCGTAACCGTCATCATCGTAACCGTCATCGGAAAATTTAGAACCTGATTCCGAGCTTGGCGGATTTCATCGTTCCCTGACCAACCACCAGTCCGGATCCATCCTCCATTCTTCCTCTGACATTGCTATCGGAAAAGACTCACCATTCACCATTAAAACAATTCTATTAGCAATTTTGCTCTGCATATCACTCAAAATCAACACTCTACCTTCACTTAAAAACGATTTGCTCTTCGTGTCTTCATTAACGAGTATCACCTCTCCCAATAAAGCTCCTAACCCTGTGAAACATCTCCCACTCCATGCTTTCAATGGAACGCCAGCAAATCTAAGCCATACCATTCTACTTCTTGAAGGCATAGTCGATAGAGAAGTTGGGTGTATCCATTCGAACCATGACTCTACCAAATCACTATTACACTTGAAAAACTCCTCGAGACATCCCTCTATTTTATTCAATAATAAAACTTGTCTACCTTCTAACAAAGCCACATTCACCATTAATCCATTAACATCGAACCTATTCTGGATTGTCATTACCATATCTAACGATCAAACCACGGCAACCATGCTTTTCTTCAACCAAGCAACCTCCTCCTCTGTAGGAGAAAACTGTAAAACCAAATTAGGACTGGAGTGCAACCTCACCACTTCGGTATCCTTTTCTGTCGATGGCTCAACCACCCTATCAGCTATGTTCACTGGCACCACATCTGCCTCTAACAACTGGACATCCTCCTTATCCGGCACAATCTCAATTGCCATTGACCCTTTCTTCATGTCAGATTACCGTAAATCATTATTCGAAGAGTGCCCTTCCTCAATGGCCACCAACTTTCCAGCCACCACCTGAGCATAAGTGACCCCAGGACTAACCTTTCTATTTACTCTAACCCATTGTTTCTCCTGCTATTTGTTCTTTCCCTCCAATTGCACCTCCTTCCCTCTTTTCACGTTCTCTGCCAACTTGACCTTGAGACGATAAGAATCAATCCATATCTGGTTCAACTTTCTTTCCTTGTCAAATACATTAGAAACCTCGGACATACGAACAAAACCAAACCTACTACGGCCTCTCTTGTCCCTTCTGGGCGGATATACACATCTGCTACTTTTCCATATGACCAAAAACTATACCACAAATCCTTTGCAGTGCGATTTACCGGGAAATCATAAAAAAATATGTAGTTACCCGCCCTATAAATTGCCTGCCATAACCTGGAAGCTGCCGGCTGAAGCCCTTGCCACTGACCCTGGCTGTCGAAAACCCCGCTCGAAAACCAGCACCCTCTCTCGCTCTCGCCATTCGCTCTAGAAAAAGGGTTGTAATAGATCTAACTTATATATGTGTTTGTGAGAGATTACTGGATTCACTCACACATATATATATGTGTGTGTGAAACATTACTGGATATCAACTTGTATTGCAAAAATTAGAGGATTAGACTCTAAAACTTGCGTTGCTTCCTTACTTCTGAGTTTGGGTCAAAGAATGGGTTGGAAACATCAAACGGATCCATCTAGCGTGTAGTCGCGTGTCTCTCCTTTATTGCTAATTTTCCGGCAATGGAGTCGTCGGCTTCACCAGTTCTGATTTTTGGTGTCATTTTCTATAGAAAACAATGGAAACTCATTAGATATATCTAAGAATGGAAGTCTACAAGCTTGAAGAGATATTTGCAGAAAAACTCACCGTTTCGCTGCGAAATAATCATGGTGTTACAGTCCAATTCAAAAGTAAGGAAAAAGAAGAGAAAGAATCTAGAATCAAGGGAAGAATCAAGAAGAAGGAGAATGCGAGGAGAAGGAAGGAAACCACTTATAGTATATTTCCTCAGATACCCTTAAACTTGATACACTGATATTTTTAGACTCACAAACCAGTAAAAGTCCCTAAAATAATCCTCATTTACAATTCGGTATGTAAGACATGGGGATGCTGGAAACAGAAAGAGGAGGCCAGCTGTGGTTGATCATTGGCGGGCATAGGGGCTGGTTCTAACATAGAAGGGGGAGACCGTGTATCTCGAAGAAGATGAGGGGGGGAGGAGAAAAGGCGAAAAAAAATTTAGAGAAAATATATAGGGGCCTAGAACGGCGTAGCTTTTATTTCTCATTTTGCTTAATTTTTTATAATTAAGGCTGATACCCTTTTTTTTTTATGTGTATAAATACATACATACCAAAAAAGTATGTTGTGCAATCTTAAATCATTAAATTAGGGGTAAATCATAAATTATTAAAGGTTTTTTTTTTAATATTTTTATTTTATAATTTAAACCATAAA